TGGGCGAATGGAGGCGGAGGTCCCCGGCCCGGCTCTGGTAAAATTATTGTTAGGTACCTCCCGATTTTTCCCGCGATTTCAAAGAAAGATTCGCGTTTCTCTTACCTCATTGTTGGCCAAATTTCTCGTGCCTCAAAGTCACGTCCCCAATGTGGAGTTTGTTGAAGGGGGGAAGGGGGGGGAGGGCTAGTAGGAACTGAAAAATGTCTGCTCGTGAAAAATGTTATAGCCGTACCTAAGACCAGTTACGAAATGCAGAGGCCCAAAAATTGCAAATTACATCTTGAGGGCATAGGAGCCGATGGACTTGGAACGTATTCACGGTTTTTTGGCCCCTATGCGCAGTATTTAGCGCGGCAATAGCTGTTTGCATCATTGCATATAGATCAAGGGGCTACCATAGCCTGTGAGGGCCATCCTCGACCTCTCTGTACGTTAGTGAAGTTCCTACTGCGATTAGGCCTACTCATCTTGAGACTTGCGTGTCCGCTCTCGTTAATAAAATCCAGTAGGTTCAAAACTCTCGGTCCTCTCGACTAACTTATCCCCACAAGCTTCTCAATAAAATCAAGCTCGCAACATTTGTGAAATTTGTGATGCAATAATCTGAGGAGGATGAATCATTTTGCATCGTTTCAAGTCGTTCTCCACCTCTAAGAAATGGACAGTATCGAGACCAAAAAAATGACGAAGCGAAATACGAGCAAAAACAGACTCTTGATCTATCCACGGGGGCAATATGGTCAAATATTTATGATATTGCTCTGACCTTGTCAGTCTCTCTCACCTCCCGCGATAAATGGCCGCCTGCCGCCTGCCGCCCGCGTTTCGCATAAGCGAATTTTATGCATCACAAATTTCGCTAATAGACCTCCACCGACTTGGAACGCACTTGTTTCCGACTTTTCCTTTTATTTCATTTTTTACTCTTCCTTTTCACCTTCGCTTGTTTGTTTTTCCGCTTTGCGGTGTTGCTGGATTTCTCCCACGCGCTAAATAC